GTAATCCCAGCACTTTGGGAGGCTGAGGCGAGTGGACTGCCTGAGCCCGTGGGTTTGAGAACAGCCCGGGCAACTTGGCGAGACCTCATCTGTAAAATAAAAATAAAAAAATTAGCTGGGTGTGGTAGCGTGACCTATAGTTCCAGCTACTTGGAAGGATTGCCGGAGCCCAGCAGGTCGATACTGAGATGGCCATGAGTGTGCCACTGCACTCCAGCCTGGGCAATAGAGTGAGATCCAACTGAAGGTGAAAAAAAAGAGGAAAAATTGTAGAGACAGCATATACTTTTTCCTCAGAGGAGATTTAACTTTTCTTGGAAGCAGAGAGCATGGGGTTGCTGCTCCTGATCTAGTTGTGGCTGGTCCATGTTGGTTCCTAACCGAAGGACTGTGGCAGGACCCTTCTGGGGCCAACTTTACAGGCTTCGTGGTATTCAGCCCTCGTGCCTGTGTGGGTCAGAATTAGCAGGGCCTCGAAGGGACTTCAGTGCATGGTGCTTGGCTTATTCCTTGAAGGTGCTGCCTCTTCTCTTGGCTCCCTGGCCTCCTGAGCTTGGCTGTCTTGATGCCCCTGACCTCTAAACTCTGTCTTCCCCATAGAGGGACTGTGTGAGCGCAGCCTCCTACTTTACTGCCCTCTGTGCTTTGCCCTGGGAAGCGGCAGGTGCCCTGAGCCGGAGGACAGTGCCAGGTGGTGCCTCAGGCTCACCTGACTCCCAGACCATATGGGTGTCCTAGACAGGAAGGCTGTTCTCCCGTTTCCTACAGTTCTTGCAAGTGCATCATCTGTCTTATCTTGGCCGCCTTGTGAGGATGACGCTCCTTCCCTCCAGGCCGTGGACCTCCTGTCCTGGCGTCCATAACTGTGTGAGTTCTAGCTTCATGGGCCTTGGCTGCACCCTAACACATCTAGGTCTGAGGGCTCCTGTGGGCACCTGCCTGGACTGCTGGTTTGGCACCACAAGGGCTGGCTTATTAGTCACTTCTTGGAGCTATTGCAGACCCACCACAGACGTGGTCACTGCTTTGTCCGACACTGTTTGAGATGCATCCATCCGAGTTTTGAATCACTCAGAACACATTCTTGATACTGTCTGTTCATCTACTGAGAGCAGTGCCTCTGCCAGAGATCCCCACTGGTTTCCCATGCTCAGCTCCATGGTGGACTCTGCCCGGGCTTACTGCTTACCAGAATGACCTGTATCTGTGTCTGTCCTATGGGGTCCATGAGTGCCAGGGCCCAGGTCTGTGCTGGGTTCTCTGTCCCAGGACACTGACAGGTGCTCACTAAGTCCTCTCCATGCAGTGGACACCTGCATGGACAGGCATGCACATGCTAGGGTATTCTGTGAAGGCAGCAGCATGCTCTCCGAAGGTTGGACTGAGGCCCTGGCCCCCATCTCTGGGTCCCCACTCCTTCCAGCCCCCTCTCTGGGTCGTGGTAAACAAAGGCCCACCTGTGTGCCCAGGCAAAAGGTTTTTGACAGGCCTGACACTCCCTCGTTTTTCCATCATGGCCTTTCCTCCCTGGTCAAGTGCTGGCTTAGACTGGCAGACAAGGCTGCGGTTCCCTGGTATGTGGTCTCTGCCTGTCTGAAGTTTGTCAGGTAACCCGAGCCTGCTGATCCCACAGAAAGGATCCTTGACTTCTGCTGCAGACATGCTTCTTGACCTCAGCGACCTGCTCCAGGTAGGCAACCTCCTTTCTATGTCTCCCTACCTGGGTGGGGCTGGGGCATACCCTGGGCTTCCACACACCTTGAAGGCTGGCCTGTGCTCCCTACAGAAGTTTTGTTCTGAAGGGTGGAGAGGCCTTCATGACTTGAGGGGCCAGGGGGTGTGTCACAATCCAAGACAAGTGAGGGCATGTGTCTTTAGGTGGCTGGGGTGGGAGTGGGTAGCAACTGCTGGCAGTGGTCATAAGTTGGTGTTGTCCAGGCCTGGGCCTGGCTTTAAACCACTTGAGATACCCACATGCACATCTGTCCTAGGCCAGGGAGGGGCTCTAAAGGAACAAGGAAGTTGCACTTGTACGCATAAACTGCAGAAAAGTCTTATGCTGTATCCATTAGAGACACTTGCTTCCTGTGAGCAGAGCATGCATTTCCTGTTGCATCTCTTTCTAGACTGCCAGGCAGTGGAAAGGTCAACACCAGGGCCCCGAGCAGATGTACACTCATGGGGTAGCGGCATCCAGGCCCGTACTGTGTCTGTGGCTCCCTGCTCTAGGTTGTGGCAGGACCCTGGGGCCCACAGTGGTCACTTTCCTGAGGACTCGGGAAGATAAATCTTGTCATCAGAAACAAATGTGACTCCAGGACTAAAGTTCACACAGAACCACATGGATTTCCTGCCTAGAAGGGAGCCTTCTGTCTAGATCTGGGGATACCTGGGCGTCCTCGTGGCCCTGTAGTTCATACTGCTCCCTCTGGTTCAGGGGTTTGGTGCTCTCGGCACGACCCACAGTTAGACTTCTGCCTCCACTGGGGTGCCTAGAGGTGGTATCCTCCCAGCAGTCTCTATAAATGGCATCTCTCAGAAGCTGTTGCTGAAATGTTTTGTGGTCAAGCTAAAAATAATCTGCTGGAATTGTGATAATCCAGCAAATCCACATCTCAAATGCTCTGTGGGGCAAGGCTGCATGACCCTGTTTCCAACCGGGAGCCTTCCCAGGGAAGATGAACAGCTGCTCTGGATGTGGCTGTGGCACCACTTGGGAGATGGGCTTTCTAGTAGTTTCTCATTTCACAGTCTTCGAATATGAGAAATGAGTCAGGTTGTCAAAACAGAAGGAGGCCAGGTACAGTGTCTCATGCCTATAGTCTGCCCCAGCACTTTGGGAGGCTGAGGCAGGGGATTACCTGAGGCTAGGAGTTGAGACCAGCCTGGGCAACATAGGAGGCCTTGTGTCTACGAAAATAAGACAGAAGATTAGGACTAGTAAGTGGATGTTCCTGCTCACCTGTGGCCTGTGCTGGCCAGAGAGAGTCTTCTATGTTCAGGACTGGATGCACACAGGCAGTTTGCTTTGACTTTCTGATAGCTCAGATCTGGGGGCAGAGCCGAGTGCCAAGACCTTCATGCCTGCAGAAGGCTGGGCTGGGCTGGCGTGCTGGGAGGGTGTGCGGGAACCTGACAGGAGGACACTTGGCAAGAATGGGCCCTCCCTGAAGGGTTCCACAGCATGTTCCTCTGTGTCTTCATGGTCTTCCTGGAGGCCTGCCTCTGCTGGGTGTGGAGCAAACTGCAGCAGGTGAGGGCCTCACCTGGGCACTGGCCACTGGCAAGGCCTGGCTGCGTTGGGAAGAGGCTCTTAGCAGCGGGAGGGCAACATTTATTCTTTTTTTTTTTTTTTGGAGTCTCACTCTGTCACCCAGGCTGGAGTACAGTGGCACACTCATGGCCACCCCAGCGTCGAGTTGCTGGGCTCTGGTGATCCTTCCGCCTCAGCCTTCCAAGTAGCAGAAACTACAGGCGTGTGCTACCATGCCTGGCTAGTTTTTGATTTTTTTTTTAATTGTAGAGACGGGGTCTCACCAAGTTGCACAGGGTCTCGCACCTGCAGGCTCAGGCAGTCCATTTGCCTCGGCCTCCCAAAGTGCTGGGATTACAGGCTGAGCCACCAAGCCCTGCCACATTTATTCTTGATACACACAAACTAGAGGTCAAACTCCCTCCAGGGTTGACTCAATCAGTGGGCCTGGCACTTGTTCCACACAGGACTTGGTCATCTGGGCTTATGCCATAGGCCTCTGGTCTCTGCCTGTGGCAGATACAGGTTGTTCTAACCTGTGGGAGAGAAAGGAGGACTGGCTGTGCCCAGCCCTAACCCCCCGCCCTCAGGGCCAGAGACTGTAGCGGGCCGATTTCTGACACACAGGACTCACAGAGTCTCTGGAATGCATGCCTTTTACATATATAACTTTTTAAAATGTGATTTTTTTTTTTTTTTTGAGTCAGAGTTTCACTCTATTGCCCAGGCTGGAACGCAGTGGCATGCTCACAGCCCCCACAGCCTCTACCTACTGGGCTCAGGTGATCTTCTGCCTCAGCCTTCCAAGTAGCTGGAACCATAGGCTTGTGACACCATGCCCAGCTAATTTTTTGATTTATTTTAGAGATGAGGTCTTACCATGTTGTTCAGGCTAGTCTTGAACCTTTGAGCTCAGGCAGTCCTCTCGCCTCTGCCTCCCAAAGTGCTGGGATTACAGGCTTGAGCCACAATGTCCGACCCTAAAATGTGGTTTTTGTTTTTTTAAGTGAGAAAGCAGGATTTATTGAGAAGACAGAAAACCTCCCACAGTGGGAGGGGACCCAAAGGGGTTGTCCAAAATGTGATTTTTAATGTGGTTTGTGGCCTGTTAGGAACCTGGCGGCATAGCAGGAGGTGAGCGAGTGATGCTTTATTGGTATTTACAGCCACTTCTCATAGGAACGTGACCCCTACTATGAACTGCGTATGCCAGGGATCTAGGTGGTGTGCTCCTTACAATAATTGTTAATGTGATCATCCCGAAACCATTTCTCCCCGGTCCATGGAAAAATCATCTTCCACAAAACCAGTCCCTGATGCCAGAAAGTTTTGGGACCACTGCTTTAGAGAATCTTTTCTTGCAGCATTGGGTCTCTTCACCAAATCCCATGTCCACCTGGGACATGAGGTTGGGGTGGTGGGAGCTTGGGGAGGAGGCAGGCAGAAGCCAGGGTGCCCTTCAGTGGGACCCACATGCCTCCATCAGGTCATAGTTTTACCGTGGCCTAAGAAGATGTGGCATCAGAAGGGTCAGGTGCAGAAGCCTGGGGGACCCAGCTTGAGGACTGTAGTGCTCACACTACACGTGTACACACGCAATGCTCATACCCACCACACGCATGTACATACATGTGCATGGTCACACACACGAGCATGCTCACATATGCACTCTCACACCCCACAGTTTGTTGAGCAGACCCCAGGGACTCCTGACCTCCATAAACTTCGTAGGAATTCCTCTAGGAGGCACACTCTGAGCTGCCAGACCACCGTCATGGAGGCCTCAGGGAAATTGCCCAGCCAGGGCTAGGTGACGACCAGTGAGCCGCTGCCCACTGCTCTGGACATGGAGGCCCAGCCCTGGGTCTTACAGTGGGGAAGCTTCCCCTGCTGACATTCCCACAAGCACTTCCTCCAGCTCTGCCTCTGGTGTACTCCCTGGTCCCTTGAAGGAAAGACTACCTGCATGCTGGGATGAGGGGCCTCGTCCAGGGGCCCACAGGCCAGGCTTTATTAGGAGAGGGAGTTCAGAAGGCCAGAGGCAGTGGGCCAGACTGGCTCGGGGGCAGGCTTGGGGTGAAGACAACGGAGGGCAGATGGGGCCTCTAGCTGGAACACTGAAGCCCACGGCACAGGCTGCATGGGGACCTGGGCTTTCTCAGCTCCACACCTGTTGGCAGCCCCTGTTCAGAAGCACCCTTCCCACTTCCTAGCCAGGAACCTGCCCACGCCTTCCCCAGCTCTTTAGGGCACATGTCCCATGGCAGGGCTGTGCACACAGGCTGGGGTCCTTGCCTGCCTTCGGGGAGCCACTCCTAAGTCTGGGCCTCAACTCTGCCACCTGCCACCCCGTGGCAGGGAAGAGAAATGGCAGGTGACTGAGGCAAGGAGCAGCAGGCTCCTCGTGGATCTGGAGGTGGAATAGCAGAGGATCACAAACGAACACAGATTCGGACTCCAGGGCCCATTAGAGCATGGGGCAGTGGGTATATGTCGGCATGACAGGTCTTGTGTACATGGGCACATGATTCTGAATTTAAAGCTACATGCACTGATTATACCCTGACAGACCTTCTAGGCCGGTTTCCTGCTAAGTGAACAGCATCCATAGCGAGACCATAGCAGGGTCTAACACAGCAGCCTAGGAAGGAGGAGGTGGAGAAGGACTCGCTGGGGTATGGGGGCGCTCCAGGGACCAAGAGGGGCTCTGACACAGAGCCCTCTGAAGACTGGACAGTGAGATAGGCACTTTTAGTGAAGTGAAGGGGCACACATTTCCTTGAGCACCAATGCCATTTCTGGTTGATCTCCCACCACAGGTGAACGTGTACGTGCTGGGCAAGACGTTTCTCCTCCTGGCAAGAGAGCTGTGCATCAATGCGCCGGCCATAGGTATGTGTACAGATGTGCAAGGCAGGGCTTTTCTTCTGCTGCTAAGCCAGAAGCCACCATCAGTACCATCAGGTGTAGAGAGGGAGATGGAGGTGATGATCGTGCTGGGAACCCGTCTTGTGTGGACAAGGCCTCTGCCGAAGAGTGTGGTGGGGTATCTCCTGGAGGTGGGCTTTCCAGCCACAGCCCTCTTTTTGGTGCCACTGTTGTGGAATTCACTGAGCCTCAGTGTGTGCAAGTTTGTGGAGTTCATGGGGTCTTTTCTCAATGCATGGAAGGTGTTGTGAGCTCTGCTTCTCCAGAAGCAGCACCCGTCTTCATGCATGCGGAACTGGGCCTGGTGAAAAAGCCTAGAAGGAAGGTCAAGATGAGACTCCCTGTGTGAGGCTCTGACCTACCCTTCCTCTGAGCCGCAGCAAGAGCACTAGCTTCACAGCCTGTGTACAGGGCCTTCTTTGCCTGCTGGTGCACCCAGAAGTATCTCATGGCAGAGAAGCACCACGTGGGGGTGAGGTCACCAGAAGTACTGGTGGCCACAGCAGCTGAGGGCCACTGGGCTGGGGCTTCACAGCTGGCCCACGCCCTCTCTTAAGAGGCTACTGCCGAGTGGGGCCATCCCTCCCTTCAGTGATCAGTTGAGGTTTTTTAGAAACAGAGCAGCTGCCCATGGGTTATGCGGTTTGGGACACAGGTAAGGGGCTGGGAGAGCATGCTGTACCCTAGAGTGTATGCTCACAGCAGGCTATACCCGCAGCAGCGTCAGTGCCGATGACACTATCACCAAGCCTGTGGCTGGAGGGAATCTGTTCCCAAGGACCTGGAGCCCTGGGCCCAGCAGAACATGACAGCCCCCCATCCACTCACACAGAATTTGTGGAATTCTTTCTTTTTTTTTTTGGTAGTCTCACTCTGTCGCCCAGACTGGAGTGCAGTGGCCGCTCCCGGCCACTGCAGCCTCGACCTGCTGGGCTCCGGCGATCCTTCCACCTCAGCCTTCCGAGTAGCCAGAATTACAGGCGCACACTACCACACCCGGCTAATTTTTGATTTTATTGTAGAGATGAGGTCCCGCTGCCCAGGCGGGTCTCGAACCTGCGGGCTCAGGCAATCCACTCACTTCAGCCTCCCAAAGGCGCGGGATTACAGGCTGAGCCACCGAGCCCGGTTCAATTGTGAAATTCTTATAATGCATTAGGAAGTAGAGAACAACCAAGCACCTGGAGTTCTCTAGAGTGGTCTACCTGCTGGCCTGGAAAGGAAGCCCAGGCACTGGCCAGGACCGGACAGGCTTCCCTGAGCTCTCGCTTACATCTAACAGTGTGGACACCAGAGTTTCCTTCTAGCAGTGGGAGGAGCTGTTCTCAGCTGCATGAGAAAGAGAACACCTCAGGTTATCATTCCTGTAGTCACTTAGCAACACATGGCTATCATTTGATGCAACCTTTATTATGAAAGTCCACTTAAATAGATAAAACTATTTTAAGTGACTTTTTTGTTGACTTTCGATTTGAAGGGAAAGTGTCAAATTGAGCTTGCAACCACTTAGAGTCCAAGAGGGTGGGAGGAACAACCAACCCCTCAAAGCAGGTGGTGCAGGTACCATTGGGAGGGGATCTAGACCTGCCTTGTGTCCCATATCTGCCCTCCACCTGCATTGTGGGCTCTGGCTGTGTAGAAGAGACATCTACTTCACAGAATCGGGCTACAGTTGACTACATACCAGAAACACAAGGTAGGTGAAGCTTTAACTATGTCAGTGCGGTGGTCAGAGCATCCCTGACCCTATATTTGCTTGGCGGCCTGCCATAAATAGCCAGCACAGCCTTGCCGCCCTGCCATTAGGCATAGAAGATGAGCTCGGGGATCTGCCCACCCTGGACACCGGTGCCGTTGGTGCTGTCAGAGGAGCACTGGAACTGGAAGGCCACCTTCCCGCACTGCACTTCTGTCATTCCCTCCTGCCCAAAGTAGCTGAGCTCACTGCCATCCAGCACAGCACTGGCTGTGTAGAAAGTGTCTTGTTCAACCTGGACTGGGTGCTCGAACCAGACTGAGAAGGTGTTGCTGGACCCATCCGACACAAACTTGGTCAGGTTCTGGGCCAGGACCACCCCTAGCCGCTTGAGCTCAATCTTGACGCTGTACTCAGCCTTCCCAGAGCTGGAGCCGTATAGTCCCAGCCCCGCAATGAAGACCCTTCTGTCCACAGCAAACTGGATGCTGTCGCAGCGCCCACGGTACCGCCATTGGTTGCTGCGGTAGGCAGAGGACTGGAAGCGGTGGCACCTTTGCGGGGCAAGGCCTTTCCTCTTGGTCAGGGGGAAGTCCAGGCGGGGTTTGTTGGCAGCTGTGTACCACAGGAAGATGTTGTGGGTCTCCTCCAGCGTCAGGATGTCCGACTGGGCTGCACCATTGGCAAACTCCTCCAGGGTCATGGTTGGAATTCGGACCAGATAGAGGGCGCGCCCCAGAACGTGCCTCTTGTTGCGCGGGGTAACTGGCAGGCCCTGCCTCTTACACTCAGCCTCGGCCCAGTTCAGGACTGCCTCAAAGACCACTGCCTCCTTGGTGTTGAGAGCCTCCCGGGTCACAATGATTTCCAACGTCTGCCAGTCTATCTCACAGAAGCCTTCAGATCGCAGGGCCATCTCAGCCTGTGCATCAATGACCTCCCAGCAGCGTTGGGTCAGCTCCGGCTCCTCAAACAGCCGGCTCTGGGACAGGAGAACACAGGCGTTTTTGGCTTCAAGACTTGTCTCTAGAAAGTTAACACAGGCTTTTGCCAGTGCAGGGACTATGTACTTCTTAGCGGCATACAGAGTGGCCAGCACCGTGTCAGCTTCCAAATCGATCTCGTCACTGTACATGTACCTAGGCAAAGCGGGGGCCCGGATCAGAGGCTGTGGGCCCAGGAGAGGAGCCCATAAGCACCTGCGCTTCCCGGGGAAGCCACGGGAGGCTGCCCGGTGGTGACAGGCAGAATGAAACCGCGGCACAGTACTTACTTTAGTAAGATCAGAAAAGCTGCGGGCTCCACATCTGGTATGTGGATTTCTGACTTGACTTCTGCCAGGTCGCCGTAAAACATGGCATAGAAGACGGAGCTTCCGACAGCCAAGACATACTGTGGACAGAAAGAGCGGCGTAAGCTTGAGCCTCATTGTACCGCGGGGTGCAGGGCTCAGGGGACCGCACAGGGAGGCTGCTTTGGGCCGCCGCACATCGGGCGGGGCGGGCCGGGCCGGGCCATTCTCGGATGCCCGGCGCCTAGTTGCCCGAAGGGCAGACCCTGTACCCACCTTGTGGGCGGGCACCCTCCTGGTCGCCCCCGGGGGCCCCACGACGAAGTGCACGTCGGCCATGAGCTCGTTGTTGAACATGAGCGCGTTCCTGCAAAGGGCAGAGCACACGAGCTGGGGTGCGCGGGCCGCGCGCGCGGGCGGCCGACCTGGGGCGCGGGGACGTCGGGCGAGCTCACCTCTCGCGCAGGGTGGGGTGGAAGGACTGCCAGTTGGGGCTCTCCACGTTGTTGTTGCAGGGCGCG